TCATAAATGAATATAGTCTATTTTGCCAATCCCTGCAATCATTTGTATTTCTTTAATAAAATTTTAATATGACTCACATTATTGCGCGAAATAAAGTTAAAACATTTATGCTATGGAAATAATATCTTTTAATTTAATTGCGGCATGTTGAGTTCTTTTTTTACTTAAAAAAATTGCATTTTAAACGCTTTCAGCCCAAAATATTTTCGTCACGTGTCTGCGAACCCATTTGGTCAAATTTTATTTTGATTGCTATCTGAGACCTGTTAATCATTACTCAGTTTTTGGAAAGGATTCAATTTTTTTCCTATGTATTTATATTTTTGATTTTAGATTAGAAGTTAATTCTACCCTCTCTATTAATCAAGATTATTTGCTTCTAGGCAAATCGGGTTCAAGCGTTACCACCAAAAGATGTTGCTAAAAACTGAGCATATTTGATATTTAAATTTAACACGATTGCGGTTAAATAATCAAGGAAGAGAGTTTTAGAAACGGTTAACAACCTTACCTTAGAATAGTATGCAGACTTACTGACCTGTCAGTTGTCAGAAAACTAATTGTTCCCTCCCCTACCCGGAATTTCTTCCCTCCAAGTTTTAGACAAGTTTGAGAGTCGTTTAAAAAGTGATTAAATAAATCAAAATTGCAGTTACAATGATTATTTGGAAATATGCATGAGAGCGATATTATTTCTCGTTTGTTTGTTTATAACAGAACATTCTGTTTACATCCATGAGTCATTCTGTTGTCAAATCTGATGATTCAAGTACAGGCAGAAGTTGAATTACAGCCGGTGCTTTACATTTCGCTGCACTATGGTTAATAGACAATTAATTTCAATTTATCATTTTATTTAGTTTTTTGTCAAAATAATTTCTGATATTACATTAGAAATAATGAATGTCCATTTTGCACTCGTTGCGAAAAATTGAAATAAAATTTAAAATTTTGATTTTGAAATTATTCTCATTAATCACACACTGCGAAGACCTAAATCGAATATCCTCACCTTGTCTAAGGTTTATTAATAATTTCTTAAAATCAATTTAGAGTGGTAGAGAAGGAGAGTGACTGAAAATCAATTTCGTCATTAAAACTTCCTCAACTTTGAACTATTGATTAGAGGTCGCGATTTTGGACGGATATCTAGGATTTATTAAAACAAGGTCATTCAGTGCTGGCGTATGAATTCCAACTCTAGATTTTATAGCCAAAAGTTGCAATAAATCATCAGGAGGCATATAAATACGAAGTTTATTTTCTTCATTGCTCATATGACAATCTTTGTTTAAGGTACACCGACTGCAGGACGTTCTTGAGAACAGAACTAATACTTAGTGCTGTTTAAATAAAAATATGAGCGCTCTATTGAAGAAATAAAACCGTCACAAATGAACAACGAAGAAGCTGGAGCGTCACAACCCTGAAGGTGAGTACATGTCGATTAATGGTTATTTATTTATTTACTTCAAATGGCAGGCGCTTTGATATTTATCATTAGGCCTTTAGCTGACTTCGGGCTTCACAGGGTGAAGGAGCATTATAGTAACAGAAAGTCGAGGGATGGGGAACAGAAGAGTGGTTTTGTAAAAGAGACAGACACAAAGGCAGAGAAAAGGTAGGATGATTACTGAGGAAGTAGTAGAATATGGCATTCAGTGGAGTTATTGTAGTTTGAAGTCAGACGTCAACTGCCGGTTAATAGACTTTTTTGCCGTAAGAAAATACGTTGTCCACAGTGCACCACGTGGAGGTAAGTCTATCGCGCACCCCTCACTTTTAAATTAAATTGAATGATTCTATTTTCTTGAAACATAGTTCATTTCAGTTGTTGATGTAGAGTTTTTTTTTCTGTTCAAGCTTGAAGATTATATAACAACAAATTAACTTAAGACTCAGACATTTATGAATTTAAGTTCGTTTTAAATTGGCGAAATCGTTAAAAAGGTAGCAAATTTCATTTATTTAAATGACTGTTTTTTTTAGAATTTGAGCAGCATTAATGTAAATTAAATCAAGATTTATGCCCAGGCAAGTAATTCTAATTGGCTCATTAAATGCAAGCTAAACATTATCTTAATTATTCAATCAGATCAAAATTCTTTTTTACCGAAAAAGAAATTAATAAATTCTCAGTTTGTATTCCAATATCATTATTTCCGTTCAGTATGAATTAGTTGGTCATCTAATGCCATTAATAAGCTCAAATATAATTAATGAAAATATCTGTATTCTATTATTCTTATGTAACAAAGAAAAATTTACATAAACTGCTTCATACTTTTAAGAATGAAGTAATAGGAGAAATATTTTATGTCAACCTTCTGATCCACTTGAACTCTGCTCAGATCCCGAAAAGCAAACTTTTAACAAAAGTGTTTTCAGATTTCTGAGATTTAATTTATTATAATTTCCTCCATTTTCTTTTTAATTTCCTTTTAGGTTCGAATAAGTCCCGTGGTAAATAGACGAGGGTTACTGCTGGTCGCAGATGAAACGAATCCCAGTTGGGTTCCACGTTGGATCACTGTTCGACGTCCATTCCTCTACATTTACGAAAACGAGAAGGATACTCTTGAACGACGAATCATAAATCTAAAAGTCACTCAGGTTGAGTATAGGTATGCTACATTGTTTTGAAGCTAAACTTTACTCAATTCAGTGCCGACGATAACGAAATTTTCGGAACGCACAAGAGTGATACTTCTGATACTAAAGCACCTGAATCCGGTAAACTTTCAATGATTTTCTCTCTCACATACGCTGATCGAAAGATTTTTATGAAGACAGGACCAAATTCAAGCAAGAATGAAATCCACGAATGGCTGTATGCAATTGATCCTCTAATGGCGGGCGAAATTAAGTAAGCATTACTGGATCTACCAATAGAATTTAAAAATTTTAAAAGCAGAGATGTTTATTAGAGTTTTTACAAAATAAGTTGCTTAATGGGATTAATAAAGTGTCAATGTTACCTGGAAGGTGATGAGACCATCAAAGTATTTTGAAAATAAATGTGCAAATTAAATTAATAGCATAATTGGTGATATTTTTGGTCCTGGACAGTTCTTGAAAGTAGGTATACGCATAAAACATAAACTACGCAGATAGAGTCTGTGAAGTGCTTGGGAGAAAGTAGGTGTGGGGCCTTGGGGTGGGGTGGGGTAGGGTAGGGAGGGGGGTTTAAAGGGTGAATCGGGGGTCAAATGAGGATCGATATAAGGAAATTAATAGCAGGGCAATAAATAAGATAAAATATTTTCTGACTTTGAAATTAACATCTGTAAAATTTAACTGATAATAAATTTAAGCATTGGGCTAAAAATAGGAAGCAGGAATACAGCTTTCCGAAGATCCAAGAGAAATAGGATCTTTTGTGGAAAGAGTTTCAATGTTTGACGCAGTAATGAAAGGCTAAATAGTAAGATAAAACATTTAGTAGCAAAGAAAATACTCATTGAATTGTCTTCATTTTTGGAGACAAACATTTTCTGATGGATAATTATTTAAAACCTTGTGTTCAATTACAAATAGGCTTAACTGAATAAATACTTATAGACCATACTTAAATAAACTAAGTAATTTAACAATCGTTTGGTTATTTAATGAAGTTATTTCATTTTTGTTTAAATCTAAATTCTTTCGAAGTTAAAGTGTAATTAATTTAAATTTCTTTAATTTAAAGTAGCTTTGAAATGATTTGCTTTCACTTTTTCTAATAGATCGCGTCTAGGAAGGTTGAAGACATGAAGCGGTTGATACGAGGCGTTATTTTCTCATTTTAAACATTGTGGTCGTTTGTGCTTTACTGCCCTTCTTCTGTTGTGTTACGTTCTTTGTTGAGAGTTCAAGAGGAGAAAAATAAATACTTATTTATTTACAATTTCTTGCAAGTCATTTCTGGCCCAAAAC